GTTGTTTGTTGATGAATTCACAAGAATGACATGGGTATCCCTTATTAAGTTCAAACACGAGGTGTTTGATGAATTCAAGAAGTTCAGAATGAAGGCTGAGAATCAGAGTGGTCAGAAGTTGAAGATTCTTAGAACTGATGGTGGAGGTGAGTATAACTCCAAAGAGTTCCAGAAGTTCTGTGAGGAGAATGGAATTGAGCATGAGGTTACTGTTCCTTATACCCCTCAACACAATGGTCTTGCTGAAAGAAGAAACCGTACTTTGCTTGATATGGTGAGAAGCATGCTAAAGGAGAAGAAGCTTCCTCAGAAGCTCTGGGGAGAAGTTGTTGCCACTGCAACGTATGTACTCAACAGATGTCCTACGAAGAAGTTGAAGGAAATAGTTCCTATGCAGAAGTGGACTGGAGACAAGCAAAGTGTTAGTCATCTGAAGGTATTTGGTTCTGTTTGCTATAAACATGTTCCAGAAGCCAGAAGACAGAAGCTGGATGATAGAAGCAAAGTGATGATTCTGATAGGGTACCACAGTACAGGTGCATACAAGCTCTATTGTCCAGAAACCAATAAAATTGAATTCAGCAGAGATGTGATTGTGAAGGAATCAGAAGTTTGGAATTGGGATAAGTCTCAATCTGATTCTGATGTTAGAACCTCTGAAGAAAGGCCAGAGTTAAGAATTTCTGAAGTTGAAGTAAACCCTGATATTGACTCTGACTCTGATACTGATTCAAACTCTGAAGAAGACTCAGAAGATGAAGGTGACCCAGATGACCCAGACTCTGATGATTCAGACTCTGATGGCAATCCAGATCTTGGTGGCAATTCAGACTCTGGAAATATGCCAGACTCTGAAGATGGTCAAAGCTCTGGAGGTCAATCATCTGAAGCTAGAAACTCTGAAGCTCAAGACTCTGAACAAGTTCAGAGACCACAAAGAATCAGAAGCGTTCCCAGAAGATTTGCAGAATTTGACATGCTGCAAGACACTGAAGTAGACTCTGAAGGAGAAGTTATTCAGTGTGCCATGTTAGTAGACTCTGAACCTATAAGTACAGAGGAGGCTCTTAAGCAGAAGCTCTGGATGAAGGCCATGAAAGAAGAACTTGATGCTATAGAGAGAAACAAGACTTGGAAGCTGACAGAACTTCCAAAAGACAAGAAAGCCATCAGCATCAGATGGGTTTTCAAGCAGAAGTTAAAGCCAGATGGCTCAATTGGCAAACATAAAGCAAGGTTGGTAGCCAGAGGATTTCTACAGAAACCTGGGCTGGATTATTCTGAAGTGTTTGCACTTGTAGCAAGACATGAAACAATCAGAATGGTGATTGCAATAGCTGCTAACAGGAATTGGCCTCTGATGCATTTAGATGTAAAATCTGCATTTCTGAATGGTCCATTAGAAGAAGAAGTTTACGTGTCACAACCTCCTGGATTTGTGAAAAAGAATCAGGAAGGGATGGTGTACAGATTATACAAAGCTCTATATGGATTGAAACAAGCGCCCAGAGCTTGGAATCAGAAGATTGATTCATTTTTCAAGAAGCAAGGCTTTCAGAAATGTGAGATGGAGTACGGTGTCTATGTTCAGCATACTTCTGAAGGCAATATGACTCTGGTATGTTTATATGTTGATGATATACTATTGACTGGAAGTTCTGAACAGGAGATAGCCAAGTTCAAGAAGGTTCTAATGAATGAATTTGAAATGACTGATCTAGGCAAAATGACATACTTTCTAGGGATGGAGTTCAGATATTCTGAGAAAGGTATCATTTTGCATCAGCTCAAGTATGAATTAGAACTTCTGAAGAGATTTGATCTGAAGAATTGTAAGATGGCTGTCACACCTTCTGATACAAATCAGAAACTGAATTCAGACTCTGAAGGAAAGGATGTGGATGCTACAACCTTCAAACAGTTGGTTGGTTCTCTGAGGTATCTGTGCAATACCAGACCTGATATTTGCTACTCAGTTGGGATGGTTAGTAGGTTCATGAGTAAACCTAAGTGGTCCCATTGCCAAGCTGCTGTCAGGATTCTGAGGTATATCAAAGGAACTCTGAAGTATGGAGTGTTATTTCCCTCTGGAGGAAATAATGAGTCAGAACTTCTGAGTTATTCAGACTCGGATTGGTGTGGAGACAGAGTTGACAGAAGAAGTACATCTGGGTACTTGTTCAAATTTCTGGGAGGTCCCATTTCTTGGTGTTCCAAGAAGCAACCTGTTGTGGCGTTGTCAACCTGTGAAGCTGAATACATTGCAGGTGCTGTTACTGCATGCCAAGCTGTGTGGATTCTGAATCTGTTGCAGGATCTGAAGATTAAGGTAGACAAACCTCTGAAGTTGATGATTGACAACAAGTCTGCAATCAACCTTGCTAGAAACCCAGTGCTGCATGGGAGAAGCAAGCATATTGAGACCAAGTATCATTTTCTGAGACATCAAGTTCAGAGTGGAGTGTTAGAAGTTGTACACTGCAGCACTCAGAAGCAGTTGGCAGATGTTCTGACGAAAGCTATCAAGACTGATCAATTTCTCAGATTAAGGGATGGAATTGGTGTTACAAGTTTTGATGGAATATGAATTAAGGGATGGTATTAGTAATAATTCATATTTTATTATATTATTTTCTTAAGCCCATAAGTTTGTTAGAGGGCATTTCAGTATTTTATCTTATTCTAGTAACCCTAGTTTTAGTCTATAAATAGGGTGACAATCATTGTAACTCTTAATACTGTTTCTTCTGCCGTCATTCTTTTAATAGAATATTTCCCTATTTCATCATTTATTCTATCTTTGCACCAACAAAAAGAAGGCCAGATTGAAATGTGCAAGATCACAAGCACCAATTCATACCTAAACATCAAATGGTTAACACTTTAGTGCATTAGGATATTTATCATTATGTTCATGTTCATGAAATGACATAGTTAAAATGGTACAGGCTGAAGTGAACTAATGTTCTGATACTTTTAATGTAATGCTATGAATATTTCTATGTTAATGTTAATGACAATGTTGTGTTTTGTTCATGATTCTATGTAAATACATACCGGAGTAATATTTTTATCACAATCCATGTTATGTTCATGCTAATGGTTGGATATTTGCTTATGAAATAGTTAAATATTGTAGATTGTAGTAAACCATAAAATTGGTAATGTAGTAAAGACTAAAAGTAAGTCTTGCAGTAGAATACAAACATATGTCATGTAATGTGCTATAAAAAGGTCATTAAAGTTATAGGTGTTGTTTTTTCATTCAATTTTTAGGTCCTATTTTGCATTCAAATTATAGGTAAAATTGTGGGTAGAGGTCTTGTTTTGAATTCATAACCATGAATTATATGTCAAAGTCACAGTCATTCAGATTAATTTGATAGCAAAAGGCAACATGATTTTCATTCATAATCCAAAAATGTTACAACAGTCATTATTATCAGAAACAACAAAAACCTTGACAACAAAAATGTTACAACTTATAAACAACACCTAAATAAATCATAAACAAATCATTTTCAACTGTTTCATTAATGTTGATGCAATTAATGCAAACAACATAATGAATGTCATGAGAGGCAACTTTATATGTATCTTCAAAAACTTCATCTACATTTTACATTCCACATCCATAAAAAATGACTTGGGTTTTCACCTGTTCAAAATATCATCAATGGAGAACTCAAATAATAATTGCGTTCATACTAAAGAGGACTCAAATAACAATTGCATTCATACCAAAGAGGACACAATATACTTTTTCTAATATAAGTTGAATAGTGAGACATGGAATTTTAAAAAAAAAAATCATTTATTGATTGAAATAATTGTTTTCTTACCGTAACATTTTCTAATAAATATTTATATTATTTTATAAAAAAAAAGTACTTATTCTTACGAATGCATAAAAACAAAAAGAGTCAAGGAGTAAATCCAATAGTTCATTACCATCATTATCCTATGGCATCCATTAAAAAGATTAAATTTAAAGTTCTACTTTAAAATTTTGACATTGGCGTAGTCATACTTTTCGTTTTCAAATATTTCATAGCATTACTCTTTTATAAACCAAATAAAATATCAAAAATATGGAGAATAAATTGCATTCAAATAATTATTAACCAAAGAATCTGATTCCAACGTGTATAAATTATATTTTAAAAACAAGTTTAAAATTCTAATAAATTGTATTCAAACATTGGTGTTGTTTAACTAATTATTGAATATAATTTATAACATTTAATCTAACCTACAACGTCAGAATTTAAATTTCTAAGTAAAACAAACACTGGCAGGCAACACCAAATGATAGCAAATATTAATTTAACACTGTTATTAATCATTGGTCAATTGAAGGATAAACACATAAATATTCAAGTTAGAAATAGATCTCACATAAAAGAATAGAATCCCATAAAAGCGTGAGTGTTAACATTCCTCCTCATGGTCAAGTATAAAAAGCATATTCTAGACACGCCTCTAATGGTTTTATTCAAACACAAATAAAATATCCAAGTATAAACCTCTGGACGTTGTAAAGTATCTAGTTAACATTCAGACTGAAAATAACCCTGTGACGGGATCAATAACTTTTAAATCAAACTTTCAAAAGAAGCGAGGATGAACTTGCAATTTGCAATAACAAAATTTACAAGATGAGGCCATGGGCGTAACCCAAATTATGACAATCCCCGCAGAAAATCTTTCACTCATCTGAAAAAGTGTTGTACAATACATTTAAGCTCTTACATGATGGCTCAACTCTCAAAGCTAGAATCTCAACATTCATTAACACCCTTCTCTCCTTCACAATTAAATAAATAAATAAATATACAAAACCAATGAGAATTGCAACTAACCAATACACACTCCCCCAAAAACTCATAACATAAAAATAAGAATACCTGCTTCTTTGTACAAGCATTTCAAAACCCTGATTTTTCAGAGGGAATAATCTAATTTACACACAACACCGAGATAGCGACGTAAAACAAACTTCAGTTTTGTTGGAAATACAAACCATGCTCAGGGAAGGCATCCAGAAAACTCGTGATGAGCTGCGAGGGCATGCCTTGTCCTTGTATAAGCACGTGATGGTATTTGTCTATCAAAGACAAAACAACTTTTTGCTCATCAACATCAAGTAATTGACCTGTATGCACATCAATGACAACAATAGATGGATTAAATGACACTTTTCGATTTATGATCATGTTGTCAATAAGCAACCCTAAACTAAACCTGGGAGACATTCATAGCAAGTAAACCATTTTGTCAACGTCATTAATTTCTGAAAATAATAATAAAAAATAAACTATTTGGTATGACTGCTAAGATTCAACAGCCTTGGAATTATTTACAACCATGCAAGATACAACTAATAAAGATGATGCAAGTCCCAAATAAAAAAAGATAGGAGAAGGCTTACCTAATTCCATATCTAGTTCTTCATCTTCAACATCCCCCTCTTCAATGACTGAATCATCTTCCAGTGCCACGGCAGCTTTAGCATACCTTTCAAGAAATTCTTCTTGTGTCTCTTCATATTCTTCAACCTCGGAGTCCTAATTTAAACAAACCCACACGATTAATTACTGTTAAATACTGATAAATTGAGTAAGCAAGAGAACATGTTAATCATGGCATCTTGTAAACAAAAGGAGATATAAGTTTATGAAAACACAAAGATAAACATGAAAAAACTGCAAAGATCAACCTCATCATAATCTTCAGAGTCATCATCGTCACTATCCTCATCCTCGGCATCATCATCATCTTCTTCAACTTCTTCTTCATCTCCTTTCTCATCCTGTAATTCTTTCAACTGAATGGATACCTCCATTAGTGAAGTTAAGTAGTTGTGAAATGAATCACAACACGGCTTCCCTTGTTTCAGAAGTTGCTCAATCAACCGCGCCAGTGTCAACACTAAAATTCACACCCAAAAAATAAAAGGGATTGTTAAAAATGGTTTAAACTGTCTGATTGTGTTTACTGGTAAAGAATAAAAGAACGCGGTATACTACCACAGTACCACGAAACTTCTAGAACTTTAGATGAAACGCCCTTCAAACAATAGTGTTAAAAACTCAATTATGTGCAAAGAACATAAATTCAATGGAAATAGAGTCTCCAATCAAAACGTATTTTAACAAGAGAATTTGGAGGATAAATTGGAGCAAGCAGAAAGGCAATTAAAGGAAGCATATAATCAAGATATTTATAATTAAGCTAGCCATTATTCAGAAAAAGATATTAAATATTTATGTAATTAAATTAACAGTTAAAAGCAAATATTTACCAATTAACTTCATCTCTGACTCTGTTGTCAGACCAGCAGCCTCAAAGGAGCTACTGGATACTTGACACAATGCAGATGCCCAAATTGTGATGCCTCCCGCTTCACTTTTTTCAATAATACCTTCTACAATTTCAGGATAACACAAATAGCATGAAGATATAGCAAGCAATAGAGGCTTCCAGAGTGAACTGGGCGTACTTCGAACTTCAACAAAGCGAGAGAAGGCTGCCCGACTAAAAACAATTGCCAATGACTGTTTTACACCTTCAGTTTCAATTGAGTAGGTCGGACAGTGTAGTAATGAATGGACACAGGAGCAAGCTCTATATGTGGCAGAAGGATATTGCTTAATGGCCTCACTAACAAAAGTGCTAATTCCTTCTACAATTGAACGTTCAGGCACAGGTGGAGCTGGAGGGGGTGGAACCTCTTTTACAAGAAAGTTTTTCAGCCTATATGTACGATCTAAATTCACGATTTCCTTAATCACATCAAAAATCGACAAGTCTTCTGATTCTTCCCATGCGTGCCACTCTGCAATCATTTCAGCCCAAACTGGCAGCAGCTCTGACACTTTCAGCTCTTGAATCAAGTGGCTTGAATCAATAGAAAGCATGACAGATCGTAGCAAAGTTGACAAATCTTCTATGCATGATGAGGTCAGAGAATTCTGGTTTTGTTGATCCTTATAAAATTCAGAAAACACTTCAAATAAATTGACATTGAAAACATTTCATATGAATATAATGTATGATTAAATTAAAGGCAAGCAGCTAATATCTGAAAGCAAAAAGACTAATCAGCACAGCCAGTCTGATTGTACATCAAATAGGATCTAAATTAGAAGTGCATGCAGTCGGGACATTTTATTGCCACGGCAGCGGTAAAACAATTGAGGAATTTCAAAAAGAGAATGAATTCCACCTCACAAGTGAAATTATCACAGCTATTGTTTCAAGAAACCCATTCAAACTCTCTAATTGGATTTTCCTCAAGAATAATACTCCTGAGAAAATCAAATTTAGCCAGGCCCTCAAACTAACCTGTGTGGACAAAGGTGTTAGCCAAACCTGCTGCAACAGTGCAGCAAAAGCTCTGCCAATTGCCGCCTGATCTGCAGCCCATTTTTCTTGCAAATCATTTGATTCAGAATCAGATACTTCAGGCCTAGAGTCTTCCCATGTCTGACCCATAACTGCCAGAGTAGCGATTCCACGCTCAACCACCTATTGCAGATACAAACTCAAATCAAAAATAGTAATTGTGTTACCACAACATGATGTGCGAGTGGCATATTCAGCCTCTGAAAATAAGTAAGAAATATGTAATCGCATCACTAGAGACACCAAAAACTATGGGCTCAAATTGACCCATTGAGGCACATCTCTAAAGCATGGGTACTTCTAAAATGGTGAAGTACCTTTACCGGGTACAGGTACCGTATTTTTGGTGCTTTACCTTCTTTTAGTATTCCGTTTCGAGTGAAATCAGTGGTTTTCGCATATATTAATATAATATATTATGTATTTTAGTTTCTTACTTATTATAACTTAACACAATTTTTTACTTTTTAAACTTTTAATATCATGTTTTGTTTTGAATTGAACAATTTAGTTATCTAGTGATACATTTCATTGAGAAACTCTTATTTTTTATTGTTGTGCTCATACCAGGTACCATACCCGTACCTATGCATCATAGAGCCACATAGAGGTGTAAAGAAAAAAAAATTTTAATGTTGTTCAAATTGTTAAAAGTTTAAATAATAAAAACTGCTTAGATTCAGATATGTCAATGAGTTGGGTATTATGAGATGCTTAAGTCCCACACCAAGTAATATGAGATGCCCAATGGAGTATTTAAAAGGCTTAACTCTTTTCCCTGGATAGCTTGTTTATAAAGGAAGGTTTCCAGAGTCCTTGGATGCTTAGCATATATTACCAGAGCTGGTTGTCACTCACCATTGTCTAGTGAAGTGTTGTGGAGAAGCTGAGTCGTAAAAGGTTTATTGAGGCGTCTTAGAGTGTGCAGTTGTCATGATGTTGGCTGTCTGGGATGGTGTTATAATATTTGGTGGAGTATTTGTTTCCCTTTGACAGATGGTTTTTAAAGGAAAGTTCTCCAAGTGTTCAAATGTTTACCAACATATTTCGACAAAACCTTGATACAAAGTTATTCATATTCAACTTAATCATTTTTATATGTTATTAAGTGATTGGAATATTTATGGAACATCCGATATAAACTATTACTAACCTATTAAAAAAACAAGATCAAAACATACCTGAGGCCAAGGCTCCAAATTGGAAGTTAACCATTTTGAGACTGAACCCACGAGAGATGGGATGATGTGTGGGATATGAACTGAAATTTTCTCCTCACCAACTTCCATGATAGAACTGAGAAGCTGAAATAAGATGGAGCTATCATTCTCATCATTTCCAATGTTGCCAACTATTACTTGCAAAAGGGGTAGAAAATCAGGGGGCATATAGTCATTCTGAAAAGAGAACCAGAACCAGAACCAGGTCAGCGAAAAAGGAAAAGAAATAACAATGTTCTATTGACAAAAAAATCAGCGAACTAAAAGCTCACATCAAGTAGTGTAGTTATTGCCCCAGCAGCAGAAACCCGCACAGGATAGCAAGATGTATCCTGCTTATCCGGCATAACCAATGCCATAAGCAATTGAGAATATACATCCGCACTCATCTCCTGGAATGACACACAAGATTAGAAACCAAGATTGAATCACCTCAGAATGTTTTCGCGACTATATCACACAAGATACATGAAATCATATTGTAACTTCATATGAAACAGAATTTGCTTGAGTTGTGATAGCTAGATTAAGTGACTTACCTCTGGTAAACAGGAGCCTAGTTCTCCAAGTACCCAGTTTGCACTTGCAATGAGGTGTGGTACAGAAACAGCTATGGTATACAGTGGCAAAATCCGTGTCCGGATGAGAATTGTCACAAAGCCAGATTCTTGATCTCTCAAAAACTGTAAAAGAAGTGAGGTTTGAAAAATTCCTTTTGAAAATTTAACTTCGAAAAACAGGCTTTTTTAACAAACTAGATATGTCCTCACTTCTTGCAGACCGCCATATGCCATCAGTACGCCAAAGTAACTGCCATAGATGATGATGTAACAAGAATAAGGTACAAACAATATGTTAGTAAGAATTTCAACTAAACAAATTTATACGGGAATAATTCACTGCTCATAACATGATACTGACATTAGGTACAAAAGGAAACATTACAGAAAAGCAAAAGTGAAAAGGAAACAAGTTCTACAGAGAGTAAGTGAAACAGATACGGAAAAAACTTGCCCCCTTCAATCAGGAATACGTTTTTAAGAAACACAAACAAAAGACATGATCTCCACATGATATGTATAGGCATCAAATGGTATAAACTCAGATTATAAATTCATTTTGACCTAAATTCGGCTAAAAATCCCTTAAAAGTTGATTCAAAAAAATATCGGGCAAATTATTCAGTATTTTACATTTACATTGCTGCTTGGCAAATAGGCTGCAAGGAACACCAACAAATGAACAAAGTAATTGTTGCCGATGGCATAGAATGTGCAATAGATCTTAAAAATAAGTTCATAAAAAATATTTAAAATAAATTTTGCAATTAATTGATCAGGCAGGCAGGCATGCACGTGTGAAGTATACATAAAAACTCACTCATTCAGGACTTTTTTTTTAGACAAGTTGGAGTCAGAAGGAATGGGAAACTTAGACAAAAAAGGAAGCACCAATAACTCCCCCATAGAACGGCGCTGATTGCTTCTTTTGTTCTTTTGGCCCTTTTTACGCTTGGCTGATAAACTGTCTGTGGAAGCCTCCATTGGTGGCCCCTGTAAAAATTAATGGCCGTGTGAACTATGGTAATAAATAAATTACCAAGAGGCATAGCTTAGGAAATTTCTATCAATTAACCTTTGACATTGATATAACACCAAGTAAATTTACTGCACTTTTTCTGGCAGTGAATAAATCCTCCCTCCATCCACTAATTTCGTCCTGAATAAAGTTCCAGTCAGAAATCACTACAAATCATGTAAAACAATAACAATAAATCAGTATTCAAATTCATACAATATCCGATGGAAGATTTTTCCGTATATACTCGTCAGCATCTTCTTCCCACTCTGACATGTCCTACACATTGCATTTCCAAAAAAACATTAATGAGAAAAAGGTGTCTTAAGAAAAAGTCCATCCCGGTTACTTTTTTGAAATAAAAACTTACTTTCTCATTCATTATCAATGCTGGAAAGATTGCAGATTCCAATAGAGTTGTAAAATGTGGAGAAACTAACCGCCATCCCTGCGTCAATTGAAATATAAAATCTTTAAAGACATTTATAATATTTTGAAGAATATGACAATTAGAAAATTGAGCATCCTAACAATTGAAGCTGAATTTAAAAATAAATGACAGGTGAATAAAATTTAAATAACCTACAGGGCCAGTCTCCAGCACATTCGAAATTACATCAAAACCTAGGGAGAGGATTCTTTCTAAGATGAAAGGAAGTCTCTGCAAAAGAATTCGAGTTCAGACTTTGAAATGTCAAAAATAAGAAATATGTTTATAAAATAAATGTTACACAAGTCTAGTATCAAGTTATAGGTAACACCAGTTAAAGGTAGTATATTCTCAAGTATTTTAGTAGTCATTACAGGAAACAACAAGCATAAACATTATCAATCCAACTACTAATCAGTTATTAAGAACAAATATTAAGAATATCATCTTACGCTGGTATTTTTGCTATATTTGACTATGTTTAGAGCATTATTTATAATATCTGGCATTAACCTGAAAACGAAGGAGTTGTATTTTATTATACAATACCAAACAAGTTTATCTCCAAAAAAAAAGATATTTAGAAACTACATTACTTGTCAGAATGTTTCCTGTGCCGGGTGACAAGGGACGAGAAAATAAGCAGACTTCTTTTCCCAGACTTCCATCTTGTCAAATATACATCTTCTTGAGTGACTGTATAGTCAAAGCTCAGAGAACTCAAAATGCTCATTAGGTCCCTACTAAATGAGTTCAGAAGAGGAGCTAGAGTCAATGGCATGTAGGACTTTACCTGTAAGTAGAAGTGTCAGATTAAAGATAAAATATAAACATATGTCAGTAATAGTGGTAGAAAAAAGAATTTAGCATAAAAGACCATAAATTCAGAGGGAGAGGAGGGAATATGCATACACTCTTGAATCAAATACCAAAAGAGAAATCAAAGGTTACAACAGTTTTTTTTCACAAGAATAATCAACTTCTCACCTACAATTTAACATAGGCATAAATAGGACGAACTCTTGAAATGGGCAAAGCTTTGCATGCCAAAAGGGAATTAGTTAAGTGAATAGTAATACAAAATAGTTTATCATGTGTTATGAGATGGGCTCTCTTCTATCCACTTTACTTTTGATCCAGAAAGACATAACCACAGTACTGCTTCTCTTTTCATAGTCCAAAATACTTCTTTCAAAAGCAACTCTTCAATATTGACAATGACTTGTGTGCAAAAAATCAAAAACAATGGGACGAATTTGCATTTAGACTTCAGAAATACCAATTGAAGCTGATGAGCAAAACACTATCAGTGCTGAGTTATTTGACATTGATAACAAAGTATACCACAAGTGGATAAACATCACAAAGAAGATCCAGAACATAAATGAATACTGTTTTTTTTATGAGATGCGTTAACTTTTAGGCTCTAGAGCCATAACATGATTGAATATTTTCATATCAATGCCAACAAGTCAATTACTAAATATAGATTTATGTATATCAACTATAGACCTGTCAAACTGTTACTTACTGCAAAATGTAGGCATTTGCATATAGTGAGGATGGCTTTCTCAGTTTCTATGTCTGCACTGCCATGGTTTGCTATAGCCTGACCCATGCACCATAAAATCAATCAGAAGTGATGTTCACGAGAAATAGTGAGTACAGCAAAAAGGTAAAACAGAATACCTTTCCAACAAATTGATGGAATACATCAAGCAAGGGCACAAGAATTTCCTTGGCTATGAGCTCTAATTGGGGCGGTACGGGCTCCTTCGCAATTTTGGGATTCAAAAAATACTGCAGAAAAGAGTGCATTTCAATTATAAGGTAAAGCAGGTAAAGTGCCCCAGTATCATCTCTACTAATAATAATAAATTAATAATAAAACAACATGAATTTTCACCGGCTTTTTTTTTCATCACGAACAGAGTATTATAAAATGTAAAAAAAGGGTACAACATTAATATAGTAGCCATCCATCTGTACATCTCAATCAGTATAGAAACATTTTACACAAATTGTTTTATTGTATACAACAAGGATTCATTTCATATAAAAAGCACATCATGACAAATTGCATTGAACAACAAAAAATTTTAAATCATCAAATCCATCAACTGTGATTTAGAATACCTGAAAAGGTCTAATAAGCGCATGAAGAACAATAAGTGCATTGATTGTATTCCACGTGGAGTTTGAACCGTTGATAAGATGGCTATTCTGAATAGCAGACTGCAGATTAGGCACAAGATCCGGCCAGAGACTCTGTTTAACAAAATCTGCAGCAGCAACAACTCGGAACTGCCACATCAAAAAATCTCAGATCTTAGCAAACGACATATCAGACCACAGATCAGAAATAAAACACAAAATTAGAAACGATGAGTAAACAAAACGAACCACTTCAACTAAGATCTTGAGAACAGGAAATTCAACTTGAAGTAAAGCTTGCATCAGCAAGTCTTTGAATTCCTTGCTGACATTAGAAGGTGTGGCGCCGCTGCTATCAACATTCCGGCGAGTGTGGTTTTTCAGATAAGTGGCAGCAGCAATTTTCTGACCTTGATTTTCTCCTCCTGTTGAAAATGATGATTGTTGTTATATTATATACAAACGAGATGGAATTGGAGAGTGAAGAATTGGGAATTACCAGTGGAAATTGAGAGGAGATGGAAAGGGAAGTGAGGAGTGGGAGATAGGCGATCAAGCTCATCGGTGGCGGCACGAACTGCGGCGGCGTCGGGGCTGAGTGTTTGGCTGAGAAGATGAGCGATGAGAGCAACATCCGCCATGGCAATCACAGTTACTCAGAGCTATTCCTCACAATCTGCAAACCCTAGTTTCAGTCTAACGTATTGGCGGGAAGGGAACATTTCTCAGTATATATAATTTATTTTTTTATTTTTTTATTTTTTTGGTGGGAAGAATATTACATGGTTTTTTTAGAAAGAAAAAGAAATGTATATATTATGATACGACAGACTGGAAAGAACAAAAGATTTCGATTTTTATTTTATTTTTTTCAAAATAAATATGAATAAAATACCTTTCAAGGTAAAAAAACTGGAGATGCGGGGGATCGAACCCCGTGCCTCTCGCATGCAAAGCGAGCACTCTACCATTTGAGCTACATCCCCATTTAAAATTTATTGGTATCATTTCATATATATTCTTTCTTTATTTTAATTTGGAAAACAATTACCTAGCAAATTGGAATTTTAACAAGTGGTTGAGTGCAAACTGTTTCAACGGATAAGACAACGTATTTGAGTGTGAAATATTAAGAGTCTCATTAATTATTGTGGCTCTGAATCCGTGATATAGCTATCAGTAACAATATCCTCAAAAAAGAGTTCCTTCTTCTCTCTTTCACTCATGAAACTCTCATAAACACCTACAGTTGGTATTGATTTTTTAAAATCTACTCTTCGTACTACGTATTGTTTACCTTCCACGCCAAAACTAGCATTGATTCTACTACTGTATTGTTTTACAATTTTACTTGCTATTTAGTTACAAAGACGATGTATTAGGATATTTAGGCATAAAAATAATTACAAATTGAAATGAAATTTTGAAAAAACTCTAGTAAAAGAACTAAGAAATTCTCAAAATCATTATATATTTATGAATGAAGGTGATATGTCATTCATTTACCTCATTTCTAAATAAACACTAGTAAAATATTTGTGCTTCCGCACGAGTAAAATTATTTGATACGGTACTAAATATATTTAAATGTATATATAAATTTGGTAAGATATAAAATGTATTTATTTATATACGTATCTAAATTTGAAATTAACGATTAATTTTAAAATAAACAATAATTATACAAATTCAATTGTATTAAAATACAAAGAGAAAAAAGGAACTTGTGAAATAAAAAAATATTTAATATTTAAAAATAAGGATTTTATGGTAATTATTTATTAAAATAAAAATATGTAATGTGCTAATAGTGACCCATAAAATAGAAAGTTTATTTGATACAATATAAATGTATTTACCACTAAGCTTTCATGTATGTTTCAAAATACATGGTTGCCATTTTTTTGCTAATAATAATTTTTTCAACAAACCATTTGGATCCTATTCCTTTTTTGTTTGGAGTTGTGATAGTCGGAGAAGGAGAAACGATGATCGACGAAGAGACACTTGAAACAAAAACTCAAACGGTTCATTGGAAAGACTATGAAATTGAGTATAAATATAGATTTGATTTTTTCATTTGAGTTGGTGTTAGTTGTAGAATGAGTTGAAACAGAGCGGCAGCGGCAGGTTTTAGAGAAGAGAAAAAACGGAAGAGAGAAATGAAAAGTTATGAATCACAAGAGAGAGAGAGAGAAAGGAAAAGTTATGAAAAATATGAAAAGAGAGTAAATAATGTGATGGGAACGGTTAAATGATAACATTACTTAATTACCAAAATATCCTTCTTGTTGTATAAATTATTTTTAATGTAAGGGCAATTTAGACAAAGCGTACAATTGAATAGTAATTGATGTATAGTAGATTTATGTATAAAATTGAAATAATTAAAGAATAATTAAACATATTAAGGAAATAAAAAACTACCGTAAAATTGATTAAAAAAATATCGTAAAATTAAAATAATAAAAAAATATATAATTCTTAATTACAAATAAGATAGTTATTATATATCATTATCAACAATTATATTTATTATTAAGTAAGATAACCTAAAATAAAGTCATGAAGAGTAGTCATTTGACCTCTACTTATTACTACTGTTGTGACCTAAATCTGAACCTTTACTTTTATACTCTTTAGGTTGGTGAAGAGTTATATTGTTGTTTGCCTACAAGTTTTAAAGAAAATAAAAATAATTAGAATAAATTATTGTCACAATCATAATGAAAAAACAAAAAAAAAATATAGAATCAAAAATTGAATATGAATATCGTAAAAAAACAAAAATATAAGAAAAAGAACCTGAGATGATTCTTCATCTCACACGGTAAAATTCTTGGGTCAATATTCCTAAAATAATAAATTTATGCAGAATAAATAAAAAATAAATAAATAAAATGTTTAAAAACATTCATAAATAAAGGAAAGAAACAATAATATTTTTAAGAAAAACTAATGTTAATGAGAATCCATATCATAATTTTATCAAATACATGGTGTACATATAGAAAACTGAAAAAGTGGGAAATAATATGACTTCCTCTTTTTCCTCGTTTAGAAAGAAATTGCAGCAACTATTGTTCATTTTCATCATCTTAAATTTAAAATTAAAAAAAAAAAAAAAACTCTCCAATATCATTTTAACAACATCAACTAAAATAGAAGTCACACAACTCTTTCTTACCTATCTTTTCTTATGGACAACAGTTGATGATGGTGGTTGTTGGGGTTGGCTGCACACAATTCGCGGTGGTGGTGAGGAGTGTTTCAAAAATGGTTGTTCTATGGTGTATTATTGTGGTGTGTTATTTGTGATGAAGATGAAGAAGATAGTGATGATGTTGTGTTGTTTGTAATGAAAAATGAAGATGATGAAATTGTTTTGTTTATGTTGTGGTTTGATGAAAGTGACGAAGGTTGTGTTAATGATTTTTAGTTTAGAGTAGATAAGAATCAGAGTTTATGTTGTTGTTTGTTGTGTATAGAAAGTTTAAGGTTGTGTAGATGGAGATTATGTGACAACAACATAAACTCATAGTTGTTAGAAATATGTTAATGGATGGATCGGATGAATTTTATCTTTTAATAGATGGATTGGATTGGATTTTTATTAAGAGAGTTTAGTGGATTGTTAATAGATTAATGGATTGCTTTAATTCATCCATTAACAATTCAATACATATCCATCTAATCCATTCATTTTGCTACCCCTACTATAGTATTAGATAGATAGTAAATTAGTAGAGACTCAAATATGACTTAATATACTCACTATGTTAAGATTTTTGTAGAAAGGTTCTATAGTCTTCTTTTCATGGAGTCCTGTGTTAGCTTGTTGATGCTTAAGTGCTCTCTGAATTATACCGATTACATGCATACCAACAACTATGATAGCACTAATATATTCATTTAAAATTGCTAACATAAATATGAAATTATCAAATGGTTTCAAACACTTAAGAAATAAACACGGTCAAAAAGAAAAATGGAAGCATAAACAAACAACTACTAAAATACAATCTACTAATTAATCAAAAGAAAATACAATTTGCTAGTTATAACCATTAACGTTTCAGAATTGAGTATTTAAAACTCTATAATCTTGTTGTATTATTCTCCTCTTTATAATATTAATATGATCTGAAATTTTTACATTATATTATTTAATTAATATATAATTGCACAATAAAGTACATTAATATAAAATTTGCGAGTTTAAATGGCAATCAAATGTAGAAATATATTTGATTAAATGCCAACAAATTCACATTAGGCAAAAAAAAATGCCAACAAATTTGAATAATATTTTACCCCTTAAATTGATGTTGGTAAGTCTACAAACATCAATTCTTTGCTTAGGAAATTATGACGATGACTTGTCATAGATTTTATAGGTATATCAACAAGTTGAAGAGATGTAGAGATATGAGGCAAAGTGATAATTTTGTGGTCATAAGCTTCTCATATGGAATGATAAACGACTTTATGTGCTTCGTTCTTTCATTGTGTATAGGATTTGTTGCAACTTGTATAACAATGATGTTATCGTCGTGCAGCAGAGTTAGTTGTATTTGTGAATAACATGTACTAATATTTTGTTTCAGTAGAAGATTTTGAAACTCGTTTTTATTTCTTGCATTTTTAAGAGACGAGACATCTTCTAACAACATACATCAATGTACACTTAATCGAGTTTGGACATCCAATCAACTTTCATTAAAAAAAGTTGGGTATTGTAGGAGTTCCCCCTCATTCCTATGTAGTTTTACATTAACCTCCATGGGAGTGTCATGTGAAATTGTATTTATGATCCCAGGAAATAAGTAAGTTATTTAAGATCTTTCATGTGGAAAGTTGTATGTAACAATTGTTTGACTTTAGTGATACCCTTTTGATTTAAGTTGGTAATGGCAATGTCTTCCACATAAATAAGAAGTTTCACAATTCCTTTTGAGGTTTTTCACAAAAAGAGTGATGGATCATAGATGATTTGAAGAAATGAGAGGTCACGTAATGTTATTATGAAGCTTTCAAACCATACTTTTAGTGGTTGTTTTAATCCATATAAATAATGCTAGTTTGCAAACAATATTAGGTAATGGAGGCATACCAGTAGAAAATTTGATGTAAACTTCTTCTTCGAGGTCACCATAAATTAAGGAATTTTTGACATTTAACGGGTGAATTTGCCACGATTCAGATGCAGCAATGGCAACAATAGTTCTCACAGTAATCATTTTCGCCATAGATCCAAATGTCTCCTTATAGTCTAAAGTCTAAACCAAAATCTTGCTTATTACCAAGATCAAGAATTATTGATCCATCTGAAAGACGAAGCTTTATATAGAACACAAATTTACTACCAATAGGGTTAATAGACAAAGGACACTCCACAATGTCCCATGTTTGATTTTCCTATGGTACCAAAAGTTCAGCTTTTATAGCATTCTGCCAATATTTATGTTCCATAGCTTATGAATATGAAGAAGGAATGTGAATGGGTGCTAAATTTCTATCAAAGGTAAAGGACCATAAAAACCATATTTCTCTAGTGGCTTATGAATGTGAGTATTTCGGTGTAATAAGGCTAGTTTTTGTTGAAATATTAAATCAACAACCAAAGAATGATCAGGAATGG